TTGGATTTACGACTGTTAGAAGCCATCCCAAGCTACTCAAAGGGTCGTAGAGGCGCGCCCGCCAGCACACAACGTCAGGGTGCAGTATTGTTGTGATGGGTAAACGAACATGGTTGACATCGATTACTGAAGCCCAGATCATCGAGGGAAGCGTATACTTCAATTTGATTTTCGACCTGATACGCTACAGGAACTCCCCTTCCCCGAATTTGGGATGGATGGGTGAGGTGTTGTATATTGTTGAAGTGCAGCCGACTACAAGCATGATCCGGTGATAATGTAAGAGACAAACGACCTAGTAGAACGTAGTTGAAGCAGATACAAGCGTGGTGGGTATACACGAATAACTATTGTGTGAAATATATAATACAGCTGTACCAAACATCCACGTTTTTCCGCTGATAGATGTGACACGTTGGCATTAGATGAGAAATCAGGCTGTTATCATCTGGCGATCCATTATTCAATTGAACTTTTTACTTTGTTCTCCGCGAGTCAGAAGTGAATATAAAACCACCGCATGGGGACCGGATAGACCAGATCAGTGTTTATTCGCTCGAATTCTGTACATAATATGTATGGACAACGGATAAAATCGCGCGGATAAAAAGAAAATCATAAGATTATTCGTATCCGAGTTTCAGCGATGAGGAAATAACATCGAAAGAATAAATAGAAGTATTGCGTACGGTATTAAATTTTTCGGACATCGAGAAAACCACATAATAATTAGTCTGTCTTAGTGGACAATATCTGACAATAATGGACGGGAGGCTGCGGAGGAAAATCGATTCGAATAACAGAAATGAATCACCAGCTCGTGTGCCCCTCAGAGACACACGCACGGAGAGATCAGTAATACTGCAACTGGATACGTTGCAAAATCGGAGACCGACAAAGTGGACAATTGGTTAGGCTTTCCGCACAGGTGTGACAGGAGCACACGTGACCACATTGCAGAAATACGACAGTGCACTGAAAGCAGAAGAAACAAATGTGGATAGACGGTAACAACCGTAATCACACCGACCAAGATCAGGTGAAAGTGAGGGTGTTTGGTTTACTCAAAGAAGCCAAGCGCTTGGGATTCTAGATGAAACCCAACAACCCTATCATAATAGTTCATACGAATTAATCATACTCAAAGGTGAGCGAGCGATATACAGAGACATTAAAAATCATGGCAGCAGTTTGCTGTAACTAACTATAGTTAGCGAGGAAATTAGTAGCTGCTGAAAAGAATAGAAAACCTGATATGCGACGTTAAACTCGGTCAACAGTGTTAACGACAGTCTATTCAGTTACAGGAAGAACACGCAATGAAATAATCATGAAAGTAGACGGAAGTATCAAAGCTCTCTTTTAGGTGAGTAATGGGGGATTTTATTCAATTTCAAAGGTAAACTCATTGTGTACATAGCAAACGAAGCATGAACTGAAAAGCTAGGAAGCATTGACAGCTGTTTCGACCTGGCTCGGCCTCATCAGCAGTGCGAACCCGACTGGGGATCGAACCACGGACCTCACGGGAAAAACGCAAGTATGCTACCTACTCGGCCATCGGGAAGCTGATCAGACCGTTTTTCATTTTCCATTTACACGATATATATTAAAACTCTGTTAAAATTTTTTATCACTTCTCTGTGCCTATGTTTTCAGTCTACGTTCAGAAATCGGAAATGCAGTCAATTAAAGATTGTCCGTCAAAACACGAAAACGAGGACGATGGGCATCGGCGACTGGGTTTGTTTGGGGGTGAGAAAGATCTATCTGTTGAATCCTGCAGATGATGAGATGATTTCAACGATTAAGCGCTTCAACTGGAACAAGTGCGGATCAAGTCCAACTGTAGAAAAGACCACAGGTTAACAAAACTCTTGAGTGAGAATATGACGTCCACAATGCGGCAATTATTTATTTGAAGAAAATTCGAACTGTTATCGCGTCAGACCCCGTAGACATTAATTGCCAGAAATTCGTCGAGATAATACGGCTGTTTCGGATTCTTCAACAGAATCCTAACACAAAAAAGGCACTTACAATATGAACAGGTCAACTTTCTAAGATTCAATCAGTTGGGGTACAGAGAAGCATAACAATCCAAAGAAGAACGCAATGTGTGCCACATGCGACTTGATAAACTGGAATGCAACACTATGAAGTACAAAATGAACACAACAATCCGGTTAGATCTACGGAGCGAGGAGAGTTATATCGCCAAATAAGAGATGGATACCTTCTTACGATTGGGATGCACGTTGGAAAACGCAAATCCACGCGGAGAATATTCCTTACAGTAACATTGTATTAGCTCACTACGGTCAAGCAGCTATTTAGCCAAACTCCTCTGACAGTGATGCAGCAACAGTTGGGGATTTGACGGAAATTCGTGCTCTACACTAGTGCAATGGCTATAGATACTCGATACAAGAATATTGAGTAGTTGAGTGGTACAATTTTGAAACAGATTTTCTCATAGAAAAGTGTTTGAGATCGATTGATCTACCTGGAAAAAGCATAGATATCGTAATTTGGGATTCAGACAAAATTGACCCCAGAGTTTACAGATATAGTAGAACACGAGTGAGAGTCAGAGCAGATAGGGGCTCTTTACCAGTGATCTGCACTTACTGTGGAATTTTGACACACGCAACACTCGTTTTCCACGCGGGCGGTGATTTTAGGCGGGGCAAATGGGGTAACATGCTCAGGTTCAGGTGGAGGTGCTGTGGCACGTTCCAGAGGATTGGATGATTCCTGGAAACAGAGATGAAAGAAAGCAAGATGTGCGGTGGTTAAGTTAACTGCTACATCAACTCGGAGGTGGCGTGTTTGAATCCGGATACTGGTTGCAAAGTGTTACACAAATGGTGGTTTATTATTGTCTATTTAATTCCAGAAAAATGCTGTTGTCATCATCATCATAATACATAATTCTACAGAAGAGGAAAAGAAAGTGAACCTCTGTGGTTAACACAGAGTATACAATCCAACTGTGCATATTTCAAGCATTCTGGTCTGATAAAAAGTGACAGCAAGATCTCCATTGTCGGTTCGCAGCATTGACCTTCAGTGTCTTCAACCATCTAGTTACGGAGTATTTTAGACCTCAACTCGGAAGATAAGAGACACCTACCTACGCTCAGTGCATTTATCTGGTCTGCAGCGGCCAGTGAAAAAAAGAAACGGTGCGGTGGGTACCCGTCAGGCATATTCAGAACGTGTCCTAAAAACGAAACCTTTTGAGCGGATCTGGATGCACTGGCGAGTTCTCGTTCGATGCATTCCCAAACACCGGACGATTTACTTCTAGCTTACTAACCCACCACCACCTCCAGACTACGTAAGCATCAACTGTCGAAAGCCGCTAGGTGACGGATGTCTTCTACCACAAATTCAAAGTCTCAACCGTAAACCAGAACTGATCATACAGTGGAGCAGTATACGCGAGTTTTCATCTTCAGTAAAACGTCACGTTGTAGTGAACGCTGCTGGAGTTTTGTAAATGTAAGCGGTTATCTCCTTTGATGCGCTACCATCGCTGGTCACGCAAATACCGAAGTACGAGAAGCAGTTAACTTCAGCTAATTCCTGACTATCTGCGACACCCAGTACTGCAGCATCAATTTGCACAGGGTAGGTGCAAAGCGCATGTCGAATGGAGAAACAGAACCTGCTACTGTGTCAAGTGGGCTTCGCGTACAGTACATACATTCGAACAGGCGAACGATGTCGTCAGCGTATTCCAAATCGCACAGCTTTTCTCCAGCTGCCCATTCAATACCAACATTTTGGATAACACTTAGTGTGTTCTCCAGTATTTCGTCTATGATGAAATTGAACAGGAATGGCGAAATAGGGCACCCTTGACAAACGTCACTGTTAGTTTTGAAAGACCAACTGAGCTCACCGTAAACTCAAGCTAACAGAAGTATGCGAATAGAGTGAATTCAGTATGATTTTCCTTTGCGAAACAGTTAACCCATAAGGGCATAGCGGTCAGCTGAGTCAAAGAACAACCGCTGGTCGATGATGCGTATGGCGTAGTAGTTCGAGGACTTGACGTAGCGTGACGATTTGATCGATACAACCGCGACCTGGTCGACATTGTGGTTTTTGTTAAGGGAAATGGGTTTCACTGAAGAGTGCTAGGCGTCGACGTATGACGGAGGTTAATACCTTGGTGACANACGATCACTGATTAGCTTCAGTATGACGGAATGCACTTTTGTGACCAGATGTTACGCACTACACCACCTCAAATACCTTCGACGATATGTGTGAGATGGAATAAGTCAGTGGTCGTAAGAAACGAAAAACCTTCATCCCATCCCAGCCAGAACAAATGGATTTCACGAGCTATTAATCACGGTCAGAAATATTTATACTAATGATCATGCCACTACGCCCCCACTGGTTTGATAAATAATAAGGATATATTGAAAACTAGGGAGGTAGACGATAATCGATCAAAAGCTCCTATGGGAAATCAATAGATGTCTACGTAGTGTAGTCGTGGTTGGTCTCGCATATACAAAATACAGGACAACACACGGGTAAAAAAGGTTGTGAAACATTTTGTCTTCCTAAATATTTTAAACCTGCTTAACGTCCTATTTTTTAACCACCATCAGAACGTTCTGATGTCTGCATCCAGCGTCTACTCACACGTCCAATGTATCATTGACGTTTTGCTCCAAATGAATGACCCGCTTTTCGAACGGGAAAGTTCCAGCAATCTTTGTTGCCGATCGATCTAATTAGCATTCAACAGATCAATGCATCTTCTTTCATCCCTCCTGAGGCAGTCTGTTTAATGCATTGTGGAAAACAGCGCCGATATGTGCTGTTCGTTTTACAGAAAAGTATTTTTGAGGGTTTGAAACAAAATTTTTAGTTGCCTAAAAACTGGCTGAAACCATCACCCCGAACACCGACCAGATTATTATTGCTATTATTAACATTATTTGGAATACCTTAGATGGTAGGCTTAATAAAAGCATGGTCGTTTATCCAAAGAATGAATAAAACAAGCTTGGTTGGACTAATTGGGTGTGTAGAACAAACATAAAGTGCAGAACACACTGTGTGGGCTCGGTTCAATATGATCACTTTACCATTACGAGGCTGCTGCTGAGCTATAAGCCAATAAAGCATTGAAGAGAAATATTGGAATGACTTACGAGGAACGCATTTAGCAAAGCAGTCCGTTAGCTAAATTCTACCGATTTTACTCCAAAGTAGATGTTTCTCACGGACATTATTTATTATTATGGCCACATTACTCACTAGTAAGAGTTTCGCTGAAAAAACGAAAGATAGTGTAACACAAGCCAGATCATTGAGGGGCGATATGCACATCTAACTGATGCGCACAGAGTTAATCTACGGAATGCCCGAGATGGGCAAATACGTGCTCACCCCCTTTTGCATTAATCGACTACATCTCCCTATAACAATATCTCACGCCGCCGAATGTTTGAAATGTTTCCCCAATTCGTTGTTTATCAAACAAAACATTCATGCGAAGTCTGAAGCAATGGAATGCTTGAATTGGAACTATCTCCATCCCGTAATAATGAAAGAATGCTTTAATACAATAAATATTTAGTCCTTTTTGATTCTTCTTAGCATAATACACCGGAGCCGGGTTAAAATTAAGACCGTGGTTATTCACCAGGTGGCGTGGGACAAAGGTTAAACCGGTCAGATATTCGAGTGTGGAGTGAATTGCAAGTGACGGAAAAACAAGCAAACTCCCCCCCCCCCCCG